CAACCAAAAGTGAGGTCAACAAGGAGGAACACGGGCAAACAACTATTATTGAACGACAGAAGTTATTGGCAATTCATGCGTCGACAACATCATTTACAAAACAATAGCAATCGACACACTAAGCAGGCAATCCAATGCAACGTCTAGCAAACAAGCAAGCATTAAATTAGTTATTCAATGTTGCACTGGTGCATCAAGTGCTTATGCAAGAGGGCAGCTTAGTAAATGTACAATGAATTGCTTCATCAGTATTCAATATGAAACCAACAAATCAATGAAAATGAAATGGGAGATGAATTAAGTGTTTTTTACTATTAATTTGCAAATTGGTGATTATGTGGCACAAAAATCTAGTGATCACTTAATGCATAATCTAACAAGCTTGCAATTCATTACAATGCCGAGATGCAAGTGAAGCAATCAATGCTATAATTACTCCAAAAGAACTAAACGTGGAAAATCAACAAATACTGGAAGTGTTATTAGCAGTTAATACTTTGAGATTAAATAATAATCAAAAGAAATCCTTGATGTAGGGTTTTATTGATGCAAGTATTTTACTTTGTTGCCTAAATGATGTAGTAGTGGTTGTAGAGATTGTGAGCATGCATCCACATTTGAGCCAGATGCTTCCATATTTGAGCTAGATGCTTCCATCTTTGAGCCTCAAATGGATGTTTGAGTGATCTTTTACTATAAGAGACTATTAGTTTTGATTGGATAGGAGTGCATGAAGGATTTTGTGATCTAAAAAATCTGGTGAAGGCTGAGTAAGGTTTAAAGATTTATAAAAATTAGAAGGCTAGTAGTTACTTGGGCATGGAGTCTACCAATTTTTGGTAGATTTATCAAAGAAGATAGCAATAGATTTTATGGTTGAGTAACACTAGCTAAATTGGGATTTGGATTTCGAGGGGGAATGAGTGGGTTCTTACTTTTCTATACATGTTTATTTTGGGTTCAAATCTTTAAAAATGGATTGGATATCAACTAAAAATTTCATTTTTATTTTTCAAAGATTTTATGAATGTTTTAAAATTTTTCATATGCGTATGCCTTTTTTTCTAATCATCTCTACTGGTCACAAGTGAGAACTTCCGATTAAGGTTAATCAATAATCGCTAAATATGTAGTTTAGAATAATAGCTATTTGATTTTTGAAAATTGTAAATTTTATTGTAGTTACTTTAGAGCTGATAGTGGTGAAGATAATGACAAATTTGATTAAAGTCTCATGGTTACGTCTTCCTAACTTGTTGTGGATTTTGGTCTATTATGTTAGAAGAGAGAGTTCACTCAATTTATCCTATAAATTTTTATCACTAATTATAGTTTGTTGTCTAAAAAAATCTTATAGACATGAGGTGATTTTTGCCCAAGGAATTAACCTTAGTTGTCGTTTGTTTCATGTCTTATCGAGTACAATCTATGATTTATCACTTAGAGAATTGAGCCAATGTAGAATTTTTGGGTGTTGGCCCTAATTGCAATTTAATAGTGTTTTTTTTTTGGCAAATCATTTAACCAGAGAGTGGTTCTTGTAATTGTAATTTAGTGATTCCATTGTTGTGGCAAAATAATTCATTAGAGGATTTGCCACACCTTTATTGACATGATATTTTTTAAATAATAATTATGTAATAATTGGATATGTTATCAGCTCTTTGTAAGTTTAGGTTATTTTAAATTTGTTGCCCTTGGCAAATAATTTTTGATGATGGATGGGTAGTTGCTTTATGCT